AGTTAGTTCTGACTTTTCGCCCAAAGTAGTTGACTGTTATGGCCGCAACAAATCCCCTTATTTGCCTCCACTAGACTTGGTATGTGAAAGCCAGACCAGGGCGGATATAACAGATAAGGAGGATAGTTCTCTTAAGTTCTTGACGACCTTAGAGACAGTGAGTAAACAGGACATTGCTGCAAGTCCTGTGCACTCTGATACTGGACAGACATAAATGTTTGCCATTAATGAAGAAGAAGGTAATTCTTGTGAGCAGGGAGACAACTTGTCTCTAAATTGTACAGCTGGGGCGACAGGGATACTTCTGATGAAGGACCCTGAAGCAGAACAAGCCATGATTAGTAGGGAACCCCAACATTCAGGTCTTGTAATACTCTTTGCTTCGAAGGAAGTGACAGGAGTATCTCAGCTGATGGTGGATACTTCATTGCGAAGAAATCCTACCCTACAGTCTACAGGAAACCCTGAGTTTCCTAATGATTTGACTGTACCCCCTGACTTGATTTCGTGCTCTGATTCTGGACTGATCTTAATGAAAGAGAACTCCACCCGGACAATTTGTAAAAGGGAAAGGATGCACCGAGGAGGAAACAAGTGGACACTCCTTCAAGAAATCGTCAGTGGTCAGTTGCACTCACGGCATGCTGTCATGATGAGTGACTATATCCCTCAATTTGAGAGGAGATTAGTGACAGATTTTTTCAGGATCTGTAGATGTAGGAAAAGAGAATCCTACCTGACTACAACTCATCCTTTTCGGAGAGCACTTCAGGCCCTCCCTATGCTACTAGGGCGTGGCGAAGTGAGGAAATGGACAGGGATTGTCAATCAACGGCGTCGAGGAATCCCATTGTTGAAGCGGAGATCGATTCTTATCCTGTGGGAGAAGAAACCTCCAGATAAATGGATATTGCTGAGCGGCTGCTCGGAATACCCGCATGATTCTAGGACTAAGGACTTAGCCTGGAATGAGGGACATTTGGTGACTGTATATCGATGCAGGACATCACGATTCCACAAGGAATACTGGAACAATACTGGAGATGACAGGTTGTACTAACATTCTTGGGAATCACTGAGTGTCGTAAAATTGGTCTTAAGCGGGCTACGACCAACTTAACGGAGGGCCTGTCACGAAACGATTTCAGTGGTTCCAGAAGTTAGTACTTGTAATAAGTTCTTCTGGTTCTAAAGAGACAGGATTATATTTACTCTGCCCTTTACCCTAATATTACTTTAAACCAAATTGATTTAAATGTTTCCAGTCCTTAGTCCAGACAAAGCGACTGAGTCTTGGGTAATGTTACGCAATTACACCGGGACTAGAGAATTTCCTTTCACATGCCAGTGTCAGAATGTTATCTCCTGACCACACTGTAGAGGCCAGCGAACGGGGAACTTTGTATCACACCTTCCCTGAGCTGGACTGTAGGTCATAAAGATTACCTAACACGAATTGAGCGGACTCTAGACATTGAGGCGACGAGAAGTTTAAAGTTTAACACGTCAGTGTAATTCTGGGGAGAACAGGTGTTTGGCAATTAGGAATGTTTGATCTGGGTCAAGTAGGAAACACAATGGCTTCACGGACCGTTTTCACACCGGCTAGTTAGATTCGTTGTAAACTAGATTGGGTCACTTAAGACTGTTTGCTATAGGGATGTCAGTCCAGAATTGAGTGACAGGTCACTTGTTAGCCAATTTGATCTAATAGTTACCTCAGAGGCGTGGCTTAAGTCATCGTCTTGAGGGTTGGGTAGAACTAAGTAAAGGGAGGAGTTTAATTTGGACAATAGATTGATACTTATACTGCGAACATTGTAGATTTACCTCATAGTGCCGCCAGCAGGCCACAGACTCAGACCTACCGTGGAAAAGTATTTTCTGACTGGTTGAGTCGTGTTTAGCATGTGCTGGAAAGTTCCCAGCGCCCATGCGACGATCAGTCCATGAAAGAGACTACATTGTGTTAGACTCGGCCAGCTGGGAACGAGGTGGGGGCGAGAAGGAGAAACAAGCAGGGAAGAAGCTGGAAGAGGAGGAAGAGCTTGACACTGCTCACGGCTGTCAGAGGTTCTATGAAACACAAGTTATGTTCATAAATTGTTCATACTTTATCACCTTCATCACACCACTCTAATCCCAGGTGCTGTTCTCGCGCTGAAACAACCCATTACTATCATAACTTTAGCTAGTCACTGTTTGTGTAAACACAACAAACTGGGTATGTCAATTAACTGATTGTTAGAAAATAAAGCTGTATGTCAAGTTTTATACTACATCGTTTGTTAAATTCCAAGTGTATTCAGTCTTACCTGTTTAACTAAACATAGATAGAATTACATTTGGTGGGGGCTCAATTAATATGATAATAATTCTTTAATTATTCATAATAACACCGGGAGAAGGTAGATGACGGAGGAATCATTTGCCCTGTCTAATAATTCATTAAGTATAATGCTATAGACATCTAAAATTCCTTGCCTTCTCTTGTGGGTACCAAGTGCAGCTAATGTTAAAGTACTTAACTAGCCAATATGGTTGTTTTCTTGGATATCCAGGACTTTGTCTGAGAGCAACATAGCTCAGATTTTAGTTCCGTTAATCTGGTGGAGGGAATGTGTTGAGAGGAACATCCCTACTCAACATTATAAACATTTAATCCACCGCGTCACGTCACAGAACAGCATATCATATTTTGTATTTAGAGTGTCCAAACAGAAGAGGACAGCATATAATATTTTTGTATTTAGAGTGTCCAAACAGCAGAGGACAGCATAAAATATTTTTGTATTTAAAGTGTCCAAACAGCAGAGGACAGCATATCATATTTTGTATTTAGAGTGTCCAAACAGCAGAGGACAGAATATCCTATTTTGTATTTAGAGTGTCCAAACAGCAGAGGACAGCATATCATATTTTTGTATTTAGAGTGTCCAAACAGCAGAGGACAGCATATCATATTTTTGTATTTAGAGTGTCCAAACAGCAGAGGACAGCATATCATATTTTTGTATTTAGAGTTTCCAAAACCAACAGGACAGCATATCATATTTTTGTATTTAGAGTGTCCAAAGAGCAGAGGACACCACATCATATTTTTGTTTACAGTGTCTAAACAGCAGAAAACAGCCTATCATATTTTCACATTTTATGAGCGTCCAAACAGAAGAGAACAGCCTATCATCTGTTTATATTTTACATGCGTTCAAACAGCAAAGGGCAGCATATTCCTATATTCTAGAGTGTCTGAACAATAGAGAACAGCACGTTTTATTTTTGTATTTTATGAGTTCCAAACAACAGACATGATATCATATTCGTGTACTCTACAGTATAGAAAATGTAGAGGACAGCATGTCATATTTTCATACTTTACAGTGTCCAAACAGCAGAGGACAGCATGTCATATTTTCATACTTTACAGTGTCCAAACAGCAGAGGACAGCCTATCATTATTTTATAACCTACAGCAGGGCTATTGAACTGGTGGCATGCAGATATCTAGCAAGTGTTCCCATAGATCACTGCCAAATGTATTGATGATCTTTTTAGGCTGGGGCTCAGATCCCTAGTCCGTGATGATCTCCAGTTTCAAAATTCTGGTCCCTGAGCACACTTTACCTTATCGTCCTGTTCGACAGTGTCCAAGTAGCAGAGGACAACCTATTATATTGAGATACCTAATTCCTGCACTTGCGAGATGCACAGGTTGCTGCTAGAAAGGAACTTACGGAGTGAAGAGGCTGTGGTGATTACCAATAGATAGAGACAGATGTAGGCATCGTTGACACAGATGAACAGATGTAGGAAACATTGACACAGATGAACAGATGTAGGAAACATTGACACAGATGGACAGATGTAGGAAGCACTGACATAGATGGACAGATGTAGGAAATGTTGACACATATGAAGAGATGTAGGAAACATTGACACAGATGAACAGATGTAGGAAACATTGACACAGATGTAGGAAACACTGACACAGATGAACAGATGTAGGAAACATTGACACAGATGAACAGATGTAGGAAACATTGACACAGATGAACAGATGTAGGAAACACACACAGATGAACAGATGTAGGAAACACTGACACAGATGAACAGATGTAGGAAACATTGACAGAGATGAACAAATGTAGAAAACATTGACAGAGATGTACAGATGTAGGAAACAATGACAGAGATGAACAAATGTAGAAAACATTGACACAGATGAACAGATGTAGGAAACATTGACAGAGATGAACAAATGTAGAAAACATTGACAGAGATGTACACAGATGAACAGATGTAGGAAACATTGACAGAGATGAACAAATGTAGAAAACATTGACACAGATGTAGGAAACATTGACACAGATGAACAGATGTAGGAAACACTGACACAGATGAACAGATGTAGGAAACATTGACAGAGATGAACAAATGTAGAAAACATTGACAGAGATGTACAGATGTAGGAAACAATGACAGAGATGAACAAATGTAGAAAACATTGACACAGATGAACAGATGTAGGAAACATTGACAGAGATGTACAGATGTAGGAAAAAGTGACAGAGATCAACAGATGTAGGAAACATTGACAGAGATGTACAGATGTAGGAAAAAGTGACAGAGATCAACAGATGTAGGAAACATTTACACAGTTGTACAGATGTAGGAAACAGTGACACAGATGAACAAATGCAGTTATCAGATAATTATTGTCTTTTTGCAAGCTTCTATAAACATTAAAGGTTTGGAATGAGTCTAATGTTATTCAAAGTGTGCTTCACTGTTTGCAATTAAATAAATTAAACTAACTCAAGGTTTTGCTGTGATTACATTTTCATTACATTTGAAAGTGATTCAGACCCAGCTACAAATGAGCTGAACATAGGAAAGATACAACATTAAGTCAGGACACAGAATGAAGAGGAAACAACAGACATTAGCAATTTGTTTTTGTTTTGTTTATGACGAATAATAAAAATGATCAACAAATTAAATTATTCTTCATGAACCACAAACTTTCTGTCTCTAACCACATCAAACAAAACATTAGTCAAATCATAACGGTGACCTTTCCAGGTGAAATGTGACGGAGGCTGACTTTCGTCACCTGAGGCAAACTCAAAGCTCTTACTAAGCTCAATGGCCAGAGCTGATTTGATTAAACCAATGCTCCCATACTGTTCAGAAGCTGGGTGGTACACTCTGCCAGTTTGAGGTAGCATGCAAAGATTCTCTGGTTCAAACTTCACAGTCAGTTTGTCTCCTGCGCCTCCGAATGATAGGAGATCTGTTGCTGAGCTGGGGTTCTGAATGATATGTGTGTAGACAATCGGAGTGTCGTTGCATCGTACGTAGTTGTGTTCTCGACCACACAGGGAGATAAATGGGAACTCATCCACATATCTTCCAGTCGTGTTTACTTTAAGTCTTTTGAAAAAGAACACAAGAAAGTCTTTTTCTGGAATGTAAAACAATGTGTATTTTTCAGATTTGCCTAGCTGACCTGTTTGACAACTAAATAAAATGTAGTATAAATATTATAATCTTCTGACAGAAAATGTTACATAATACTTAAAATATGAAGAAATTTCTTTTTTTATCTTTATCCAGTCATCTCAGCAAGGTGTGGGGGGGGGGGGGGGGGCGGCTCGTATAAGAATCGTCTGCATGCTCTTTCTAATAAATGGGCTGTGAAATTGGTCTTCATTTCTCTAAATTTATTCTTGAGGCTGTCCTCCAACATTTTGCATGCTCTGTTTTTATTATAATTCTTCAATAGGCTCTTTGATGTAGTTGGTACCAGGGCATTCTTGTCAAATGTCCAAACCATTTCATCTGTTTCCTTTAATAAACTGTATTAGTGGTTTCACTTATAGTATTCTTCTGATTTCTTTAATTTAAATTTTATACCTTTTGTTACTATATATATATATATGTTTGACTTGAAAAACATCCTATATGGTTTAAAAAACGTCCAGTTTAAAGTTAGGCTATAGGAATAAACTCACAGGGAGCAAGTACAGCGGGAATCTACCAGTCATCAGTAGAAATTATCCTCTGTCGACACACGTTTCGGCCCACGATTCCTAAACGTATTCGGAGGTGGGCCCACCTGAGTTCATGACACTCAGGGCTGGGTTCCCGCTGCACGGAATTACCGGATGGTGTTATACTTTCGGCCAGAGACAAGACGACTTGGTGGTTTCGAAGGAGGTACTGTGAGATAAGAAGCCGCCACGGCAGCGTAATTAAAACAGTCCGCATGCCTGGACGACCGAGCGACAAGCTTACTTTGGTTTACCGGACACATGTTGAACTTTTATTAGCAGTTGGCAGAGGAACACTGGCAGACAAATCGGACACGATGGACTTTCAAAGGGATGAGAAACTCTTTTCCGCTAGACACCCGGACCAGCTCACCGAGGCCCGTCCCCTACGTTGTTGCGCTGTGTCCAAAGCCAGCTAGAGGCCCTTTCGGCTGCCTCTCCCAGTTTTTTGAGTGCCCGTTTCCGTTCATTACCACGTAATCCTAGTTCTTTTACCACATTGTAGAGCGAAGTGGAAACGAGGCCTCTCGCTCCCACTTCGACGGCAAATACCCGCACTGTGTAAGCCTCGTTTCTCTCCTCAAACCGGCTGCTAGATCACTGTACTTTTCGAGCTTGTACAAGTGATTCTCCTCCATACGCGACTCAAACGGGACCGTCAACTCAATCAGGATGAGTTGTTGCCGTTTTTGCGCAGAATGGAGAACGATGTCCGGTCGCAGGCCGGTTTTACGGATCAACTCGGGATACCGTTCATGTCCTGGCAGATCAACCGCCAGTAACCAGTCCCTCGCAGAGTCTAGCACAGATGGAGCGAATGCGTTTTTGTTGACTTTACCTTTTGGAACCTGCCCAGCCTTGAGGAAACGAATGGGGGCGATACTAGAACTGGCTCTGGCATTAGCCCTCATTCTAGCCTGGTCGACAACGGCTGCTAACTCCTTTAGCACCTTGTTGTGGCGCCAGGTATATCGGCCTTGACCTAGAGCTTTCCTGCACGCGGACAGGACGTGCTCAAGAGTTTGCTTCGATTTGCACAACGGGCAAGTCGGATCGTTGGTCGCAGACCATTTAACCATGTTAACACCGGACGGTAATACATCGTACGCCGAACGAACGATAAAGCTCAGTCGCAGCGGGGTCATCCGCCAGATCTCACCCCATGTGAGTATTCTCGGCAATGCGCTCTCCAGGCTGACCCAATGACCCTGCTGCGACTGCTGGGCTGCTTTCTGGACCCGAACCTCGTTTTCGTTGTCCCTCACCGTTTGTATCACCATGTCTCGGCGTTCTTTGGCTGAGGCCTTTGACCACCAATTGACTTTTCCGTGCCCTAGGCCTCGACGGTCGGTTTGTGTGTAACCCATTATCTCTCTCAATTTTAGTGCGTTCTGGGCAGATTCAATCGCATCGAGGACCCTCCACTTGGTACCAGTCTTTAGAGCGGGCTGGACAGCGATGACATTTGGGTCTGAAGACTCGCGCAAGAGCATGGCGAGCCTTACCTTGCCGACTTTAAACTCTTCGGTTATTGACTTGAACGGAAGTACCAGCTTAGCCTGCTTACAATACAGAGCCACGTCGGTCAGACAAGGCGGTGCACCAATCCACTTTCTTAAGGCTGTGTTGATTTTCTTTTCCATGGTTTCCACTGCAGTCATCGTCACCTCGTAGACTATATATATAGTAAGTAAATAAAGTAAAGATCCCTTTTCACGGCTTAGGCGCATCGGGTATATGAAAAGAGCATCCCATATTTTTACAAACCAATCGGCACTGGATGGGTAATGTGGTCAGCATTATGCTGGCCGTCTTTACCTCCCCAGGACAGCCCATCCTGGTACCCATTTTAGGCTGGGTCGACCTGCGACGCCCCATACAATGATAAAAATCCACGCAGGAAGCAGTGGGTTTCGATCGCAGTACACTGGATTACGAGTCGGACTCGCAACGCCTAAGCCACGGAGGCCGCCCGCTTTATATATATATATATATATATATATATATATATATATATATATATATATATATATATATATATATATATATATATATATACACACACACATATATATACATATATATATATACATATATATATACATATATATATATATACATATATATATATACATATATATATACACAAACACACACATATATATATATAAATATATATGTACACACACACACACATATATATATATGTATATATATACTAGCTGTACCCAGCCACGCGTTGCTGTGGCATAGTTTCGCTAAATGGAAAAAAAAGAAAATAGAAATCACACATGTCTAATATGGTTACTGTCGCAATCATTGTCTGCGCAGATATAGAGATAGTCTTCGATGCTTCACCCCCCCCCCCCCCCCTTCCCCAAATCCACATACATACTACTCTCTTCATCATCGAAGGTTCTTGCAAAAGAAAGACAATAGAAATAGCACGTGTCTAATATAGTTAATGTGGCAAGCATTGTCTGCACAGATATAGAGATAGTCTGGTTTGCCAACTTTAGAACACGCAACATATAAATGTGTCTTTATATTAGTGGTCGTTTAAATCACATTATTAGGACAGTAAAAGAAAAAAATTTTTTTTTTTGGTTATCACATGCTAAAGCTGTTTGTATTTTTTTTTTTAAAGAGACGGAAGTAAAGCTTACTACTGTACTTGTAAATAACCAAGTAAGTCGTAAAAAATGAGAATAACGGAGGTAGTATTAGTAAAATATAAACAAATTAAGAAATGAAAACTTTAAAATCATGTGTTAAGCTCTTTAAGTTAACAATTTCAGTCATCACACCCTCCCCTCCCCCATCCACCAACTAATGCTCTCTCCCTCTTCGAATGATTTGAAAGTCATCACCTGACGATACTTTTTGTAACTGACCTTGATATCCCTGTCCATCCGGACTAAAATGGGGAGCAGGAATTGTAATGAGTAGTAAATGCGGCTAGTGTAATATTTACCACACCATCTTTCAAGTACCAGTACCACTACCACCACCACCACAATAACTAAAAAAATGTCACTGCTATCTGTTTTACCATCGGAGGTGACAGGCAGTCGTGAGCCAGAAGATTTGGCGCTGTATGGCTAGTGCTATTGCCACGGACAGGTCAGGTTAGGATGTGTAACTTCGCCCCTGACAGATAAACGCCATCACCTTACCGGAGGTCTCTGGCATGACAGCACTACGGTGTAACCGCCCAACAACAACTACTACTGCTACTTTGAGTGTGTAAGGCAGTTACTGTGACTTGAAGGTCTCTCAGTTAACAGTTTATGTTATACTCCCCCCCCCCCCCCCCCCCATTTCCCCAATTCACTAACTACTCTTTACCTCATCGAAGTAGCTGGGAGAGGAAAAAAACCCAAGTGAAAAGCAACGAGTGAAAAGCAACGAAAACAGAAAAAAGAATACACCATAATTACGAAATGAATGCTATATGATAAACACAGCCTGAATGCCAACGCAATGTCAGACGAAATAATTAAATCAAAATGAAAATAAATAGAAATCTATAAAAATTCAACGTAATCATGCAATCGAAAAGTTTGAAATGAAATCATAAGTATGCCAAATGGTCAAATTTAATTATCAACTGGTTGACCCACATATCTGTACTTTTTTTTTCAAGTATTTAGAGCCGCATGGCTAGTGCTGCTACCACGACAATGGTGAGGATTTTATTTCAAAGGCTGTACTGGGATTCGAACCCTGGTCTCCCGCATGGGAGCCCAGTGTTCTAACCATCTGCCAACCAACCACTCCTTCTGAGCAACAAAAAGAGAACAAAACTATTGGAGATTTGTGTCCCGACTACTGTGTCCTGATTCTAACACAACTCAAAACCGCAGGCAATTGTTTTCTCATAGACAGATATCCCAGATATAAACTTCAAGTATTAATAAAACGGCACAACAATAGAAATCGCACGTGTCTAACACGGTTAATGTCGCCATTATTGTTGCACAGACATAGTCTTCGATGCGCCCCCCACTTCTCAAATCCGACTACTCTCTAACTCATTAAAGTTTGTTTGAAAAGAAAGAAAATAGAAATCGTGACTAATGTGGTTAATGGCGCAATCATTGCCTGTGCAGATATAGAGATAGTCTGGTTTGCTGTACCATGCCTGTGAATGCTGGAAGTCGTACATTCTGACTACTGCGCATGGGCATTATGATTTACGAACGTGGCTTTAATTAAATGTCACTAAAATGAAAATATTAGTGTTGACAATTTTCTCAACAAATGTTACAACCTATTTCAATCCATGACAGGTATGATCCCGGTATCAAAACAAACATTTTCTGAAAATTTTAGCTAAATCGGTTTAGTAGTTTCCGAGTCTATAGGTAACAAGCATTTATTATATATATTTACACACATTTGCGCGCGCGCACGCACGCACACACACACACATATATATATATATATTCATTTATATATATATACAAGGTCCGACAATTAAGTAATGAGACTGATTTTATTATGGCCAAGACAAAAATGCCACATATAAAACAAAGCATAGAATCTAAAAAGAAAACATTCATCTACGATCTGGCAACCTTTTCATCACGGCTCGATAAGCAGACAACAAACAAGCCGCTATTTTCTTGACCTAGTCAGAGATGCATTGTTACATAATCAGCACAGAGCAAAAAGCTAACATTAAATGTTTTTTAAAACCCAGAAAAAGTGCCATTGAAACAGTTGAACTCAACAAGTTTATGGGGATAATTGTTTACCTCGTGCATAAATTTTCACGTGGTATTAATGATTCGAAGTAAGATCAACGAATTACTCTTTGCAGATGACCAGGCCTTGATAGCAGATACAGCCATGAAATTGCAACATCATCTAACATCCATGAATGAAGAATGTAGAACAAATAATATGAGAATCAACACTGAAAAGGCAGAAGTAATGTCAATAGGAAAAAAGAAGACAGATCTAAACATAGCAATAGAATACAAAGACATTAAACAGGCATCTGAGGAGTTTAAATATCTGGGAACTACATTTACAGAAGATGGGAAATTGGATAAAGAAATTCACATTAGATGCAGTAAAGCAAACCAAGTATTGGGACAGCTAGCCCCCTTCTTACAGCATAAGACAATCCCAATCAGCACAAAGAGACATCTTATTCAAAGCATATTTATTCCAACTCTGTGCTACCAGTGCCAGACATGGTCACTCACAACAAACCATAAAAGAAAATTAGTAACCACGGAAATGAGATGTCTGAGAAGGGCTGTAGGAGTGACCATAAGAGATAAGATCAGGAATGAGATCATAAAAGAACCAGTCGGCACAGAACCAATTCTGGATTACATACAAAGACAGCAAGTGTAATGGTTTGCCCAATTAGAGAGAATGCCTTGTGACACCATACCATGCAAAGCATGCATGGAAAGAGAAGAAGGACGTAGAGCACGGGGTAGACCAAGAACAAGATGGAAGGATAACATCAGAGAAACTCTACAACAGCACGATGTGCCTATGGTTGAGGCAGCCAGAAGAGCTAGAAACAGAACCTTATATCTCCCTCGACACCCACAGCGGTAAAAGAGGAAGTGAAGAAGAAGAAGAAGAAGATTAATGATTCAAAAGTGGTTTAGAAATGACTACTAATGCACCTAGACCTGGACGCCAAATTTCTGTTTGTAATGATGAACTCATTGCAAAAGTCAGAGAACGGATACAAAAAGATAATTGTTTTACTGTTAAGATGATGGCAGATGAATCTGGTGGTAATAGAGAGACCATTCTGAAAAGTTTAGTGCAAGATTTCAGCAAGAAAAAAGTTGCTTGTCGGTTTGTACCATATTCGTTGTTTGATGACCAAAAACATCAGCCAGTTGAGTACCCTAGAGACATCACCAAAACAAGAATTTTTGGCCCCAAAACAAGTGTGTTCTCAACCTTCCACCCTATTTCCTAGATTTGTCTCCCTGTGATTATTTTCTATCCCCAAAATTAAAGTATTGATTGAAAAGATGCTTTTTTAACGATTTTGATGACACCCAAAGGACCCGTAACACCGACTTTAAGGGTCATAGCAACAGAAGGACTACAGGGGTTGTTAGATCGTGCTACTTGCTATATTAATGCACAAGGGGCTTACTTTGAATAAAATGCAGGTTATATCTTCAACTGTTGATTATTTTAATTTTGATGGAATTAGTCTCATTACTTAATTGTCGGACCTTGTATATATATATATATATATATATATATATATATATATATATATATATATATATATATATATATATATATATATATATATATATATATATATATATATATATATATATATATATATATATATATATATATGGTGAATTGGTAACTGGGATTAGACCTACAGGAAGGCCAAAGCTGCGCTATAAAGATGTATGCAAACGTGACCTAATAGATACCAACATAGGCACAGAGACATGGGAAAAATTAGCTGCAGTTCGACTACTATGGAGACAGAAAGTGAAAAATGGACTGTCACATTTTGAAAGAAACCGAACAAAACGAGCTGTGTAGAGGAGGCACCGGAGAGTAATACTGCCTCACAACGAGGGAGTATCTGCTTTTGTGTGTATCCTGTGTGGCAAAGACTGCCATTCCCGCATTGGACTTTACAGTCACAGCAGATGCTGTTCCCAAAGCCAGCGGCACATCTCCATAGTCCCCCGGGACTGACGGATGTCATTACATTACATTACATATATATATATATATAAATATATATATATATATATATATATATATATATATATGGGGATATACTGTAAAACCTCACTGACAGAAACTTACTGTAAAAGAACACATTCAGTCAACATTATCAAACTGTTGGTTCCAGTGGGCATGCATTATTAGTCTCTGTTTAGCACACATTTGTTTAACATGAACTCTTGATTTGTTGTTCCCTTGAAATTCGTGTTAATCAGGTTTCAGCTTATCTTCATGACAGTTCTGCTCTCAGTGATCCACTTTTATAAATATAACATCAATGTGACTGGCAAGTGATGGAAAAAACAGAGAAAGGAAAGGTTAAAGAGTTAAATACCTGGATGATAGCTCATATGGATGGGGTGAGACAAAAACACTGACCTGATCCGTGATTCTAGTGATTGTGCGAGATGGTGAAACAAATCAGTCAACACTCACTGGCATGGCATATGGGGATGATGATGATGACTAACAATGTGATTACCTTTAAAGCAAGATGTGAAATTCTTGATCTTAGTGTCATCCAGGAACAGCTGAAAGGGTCAATCAGAGACATACAGGTCAAATATCTCTGACTCAACACACAGCATGGGAAAAACATACAGGTCAGATGTCTCTGACTCAACACACAGCATGAGAGAAACATACAGGTCAGATATCTCTGACTCAACACAGCATGGGAGAAACATACAGGTCAGATATCTCTGACTCAACACACAGCATGAGAGAAACATACAGGTCAGATATCTCTGACTCAACACAGCATGGGAGAAACATACAGGTCAGATATCTCTGACTCAACACACATCATGGGAGAAACATACAGGTCAGATATCTCTGACTCAACACACATCATGGGAGAAACATACAGGTCAGATGTCTCTGACTCAACACACAGCATGGAAGAAACATACAGGTCAGATATCTCTGACTCAACACACAGCATGGAAGAAACATACAGGTCAGATATCTCTGACTCAACACACATCATGGGAGAAACATACAGGTCAGATATCTCTGACTCAACACACAGCATGGGAGAAACATACAGGTCAGATATCTCTGACTCAACACACATCATGAGAGAAACATACACATCAGATATCTCTGACTCAACACACAGCATGAGAGAAACATACACATCAGATATCTCTGACTCAACACACAGTATGGGAGAAACATACAGGTCAGATATCTCTGACTCAACACACAGCATGAGAGAAACATACAAGTCAGTTATCTCTGACTCAACACACAGCATGGGAGAAACATATACATCAGATATCTCTGACTCAACACACAGCATGAGAGAAACATATACATCAGATATCTCTAACTCAACACATATCATGAGAAAAACAGAGGAACTATCCTACTGCTTTAGAACTAACAGGCAAGCAAACATTCAAGCTTCCATCATCTTCTCCTCCTTAGCCTTCTTCTTCTTGTCTTCCTTCTTAGTCTTCTTCTCTTCTTCTTACTCATTGTACTTCTCTTTGCATCCCCATCTTCCTATTGCTGTATCTTCTCCTTTGGTGAATGTAGAATGTAAGTAAACATTCAATTATATTTTTGAAATATTTCAACCTAAAAAATTTTCCAGGAAGTATAAACAAGTTAGTTGCGGGTCCTTTAAAGGATGTTGCAGAACCAATATCAGCATTTTGTTGTTGTTATGGTTTTTGTTGGCAAATGTTACATTTAGTAGTTTGCCATTGCTTACTAAACGGTCAGAGCTCAGTACCACTGTTAAACCAAACCCAAGACAAATCACCCGCAGCTGAGATCGTCTCTGGCACCTCGTCATTACAAATCACGTTCGCAAAGGCCTAAGCCATAGAAGCCAGGAAGTATACACCTACACAAAATAATAATGAAATTACATGATTCTAGTGTCAATATTGTCGGCTCTGTGGCTAAGTCGATGCAGACACTTTGTAATGCCGGGTTTGATCCCAGCTGCGGGCCAGGCGTTGGTTTTGACAGTGGTATCAAGAAAGCTGACCGTCCAAAAAGCAATGGCAAACTACTGGGTGTAAATCTGCCTAGAAAAACCACACAACAGGGGCTGTTAGGGTTGGTTCTGCAACGTCCTGTAAAGGATACACAACTAACCTAGTGTCAATATTATTATGGCTGCATTCTTAAAATCCTTGTCTGATCTTGAGATGTAATCAGTCAATTAAGTGCAGTCTTCACAATGAAGTCCAAGTGCAATGATAAATTACAGACTCTCATTCTTCTGGATTTATATTTTGTAAAATTTTTGTTCGTCCATCTTTTGGGGTTATCCTGCTATTTATTATATTAAATTATATAGCTGTGTATCTGCTGCTTGCCTTTTTTCCCCATTCTGTTAATCATCTTACCTACCTGCTGTTTTTAGGAGTATTTTACGTCACTAAAATTTGAATTTCTAAGCTTAGAATTTACTTACAGGCTTCACTAAGATACCGTTGGACTCTGTGTTTCAACCTCTATCCAGGTGTTATGGTTTAAAAGATATATTTCAATACATAAAAAATTAAAATTTTACCACACTACTTAGCAGTGGGAGTCACGGTGGCCGAGTGACTAGACGCTCGCCGCGGATCGGAAGGTCGTGGGTTCGCTCCCTGGCGGAGCAAGACTTTTTTTTTTTAAATTACCTTGGCTCCCAGGTCAACCCAGCCCTTAGTGGGTACCGAGTACAGTTCCAGGAAAGTAAAGGCGGCCGGCGTGATGCTGACCACATCACCCATCTTGTGCCGATTGGTTTATAAAAATATAGGTCTAGCCCTATACGCCTGATGGCGTGGAGGGTCCTTTACTTTTTTTGCTCTCCTTGCAGTATCGGACGAGGGCTGGACGGCTTAGTTCAGTTTAGTGGGAGTTCTCTCCCTTGGCCGCACTGGAAACAGTGAGCGGAAAAGTCACGAATCAAAGAAGACAGTGAGGTCAATATCAGGGGTGCCAATGCTTAGTTGTGTCCCCCAGATCTGGGTTTTTTTTGGAAGGTTGAGGGGAAATCTGGGGTTTTTTTTTTTGGTTTCTGCTGATCTGTATGCTTTAATGACCGATAAATTCGCGTGGTTAGGGGTAGGGTTAGCGGTAGGATTAGGGTTAGGGGTAACGTTAGGGTTATGGTTAGGGTTAGGGGTAGGGTTAGGGGTAGAGTTAGGGTTAGGGGTAGAGTTAGGGTTAGGGGTAGGGTTAGGGTTACTGGTAGGATTAGGTGTAGGGTTAGGGGTAGGGTTGGGGTTAGGTTTAGCGTTAGATGTGACAATTTTGACGCAGGAGTTCGCTATAATCACGCACAGTCACATACACACCCAAACAGTCGACGGACTGTGGATGCTACGGACAATTCGCCACCGATTGGGCACCAGCCGCGCGCTATTGTCGTCATATTTGGCAGACTGTCAGTGGCGCCACTCCAACAAGCATCAGATTGTCGGCCAGTATTTGGAACTCCTACGTCAACATTTTCACATCTAACCATAACCCCTACCCCTAACTCTACCCCTAACCCTACCCCTAACACCTAACCCTAACCCTAACCCTAAACCAAACCCAAACCCTACACGCAACAGTATGATGACTACGCAACCCTTCATGCAACCGTATGATGACTACGCAACCCTTTACGCAACCGTATGATGACTACGCAACCCTTTACGCAACCGTATGATGACTACGCAACCCTACACGCAACCGTATGATGACAACGCAACCCTACCCGCAAGCGTACGCCACCCTACACGCAACCATATGATGATAGGTAAGTATGTCATTTGTTTCGTGACTTTTCCGCTCACTGTTTCCAGTGCGGCCAAGGGAGAGAACTCCACTAAACTAAACTACGCCGTCCAACCCTCGTCCGGTACTGCAAGGAGAACCACTTTTTTTTTTTTTTTACTTAGCAGTACTCGGTACTTTGAGATTCGACAGAGCTGCCCAGTCATGCAGGCTTCAGGGTTAAAAAAACCAGATAGGTATAACTAAACTTACTTAGTGCACTCCAACATACATAGCAAAGTTAAATACATACCTGTCCTTGGTGATCAATGTAGTAAAAATATTCTCGGATTTTCGGGTTCGGCGACTGGCCCTGAACATACTGCAGGTTCCTGACAACATTTCGGAAACACAAGTTAACATTTGTTGACATCGATCGCAGTCTGAACAAGTTTAACATTTTATGTTATTGTCTGTTATATGTTAACCAGTTTGTTGGAGTCAGTTAAAACTGTAATTAATTACTAATTACTCTGCATTTAGAGTTGTGCATTATACACTGGACTCCACAGGTCAACAATGTTTACACCGGAAATAACCCCGCTCCAGTGTTGCCACTTTTCTTTGACAAAAAAAAAAACAAACATCCAAAACGGAGTCAAAAAATATCTGAAAACGTCTAAATTTGCGTGGAAAACATCTAGAAAAAACATCCAAATGAAAAGAGTCACAAATTACAAAGCAATTGATAACTATAGCTTTCGATCTTTATGTTGTCTAGTGTGTTCTTCTATCTTTCTAATTCTTTCTATGAGTGCCGTTCACAATACTTTCTGTTATTTGATTAAAGCAATTGATATGACTTACCCTCTAGAATCATGGCCTCACCTTTACTGAAGTCTGCCTTACAAGATCCACAGGATAAACTTAGCTTGGATGATGAAGTTAAAGCTTCAGATCCAAAATGACTCTGGTATGCTTTAGCTGTTCCAGTTTCTTTTAATACCCAATCAGGGAGCTGATAAGTTAAATAGCCTTTTCCTTCTCTTATCAGGCAAAATGTTATTGTAAAGATAGCATTTAAGAGGTCAAATTTCATCCTGTTTCTTAGGTGAGATGATAAATTCACTCCAAATAAAAAAAATCTAGAAACATATCTACCATTTAAACGTCAAAAACGCCATCTATATGCAAGGAAAAACATCTAAATCCGGATGTAAAACATCCAAAGTGGCAACACTGCCCCACTCATCATTATCATAATCAACAAGTGCATTGCTAACTGGCGTGGGATATCCAATGTTAGTTGCAGTGACTGGTTTTATTAGATTCTACTACGGCACTCCTGATATCCCCTTGTGGGATATAATGTTTCGTTATTTGAACCTCTATTCTGACTGACTGACTTTCTACCCCACCAGGACATCACACAAGCGACAAACACCCGATGACACAAAGTGCCACCATGTGGATGAGAATCACCGTGGAGAGGTCCCAGAAACCGCGTTCAGACAATTGGCCATATTTATGTCCTGCCTATATTGCGGCCCCTGGCAAAACCAGGATGGGGCTTCAAATGACAAAAAAATTCTTCCCAAAAAGGACAAAACTGGCTAATTAATTTAAACTTTTTTTTTGCTGCTTCGTCAGCTTTCTCAATGCCTATTACACCTATGTGAGATGGTACCCATGCAATGGTGACTTGGCATTCTTTGTTCTTGAGTTGGGTTGTCAGGTTTAAAAATTTTTTCTTTAAAATCAGGTCTACTGCTAGTTTTATGTGTTTTTAACGTTTGCACTGAGGACAACGAATCTGTCAGTATGGTAAATTTTGTTGGAGGTTTTTTTAAATTACCATCTCTAGTGCCCTCATTATGCCGAGTAGTTCTGCTGTGCATACTGCCATATGATCTGTTATTTTATATTCTCTTTGCATTTCCCCAATGAGAGAAAATTACTCCTGCTCCTACTTCTTCTACTTCGTTCTTAGATCCATCAGTAAATGCTACCAGGCTGTCTGATCGGATCTGGTCTATGTATTTTTCTGTTATTGTTTTGGCTTCAAACAGTTCAATATTTTTATTAATACTTTTCATCAGACACATGTCTGTCCTAGGCAGTTCTAGTCTTCATAGAGGGATTTGAGGGATAAACTTGACGCTGGCCTCTAGAGTCCTAGCTATGTCATTATCGTTAATTTCTAGTGTAGCGTCCCAGTCTGCTGGTCTCAGTATAACTCTGATCGGTTGTCCTCCCAGAAGGGTAGTATTTGGCTGTAATGCCTCTGACGCTGGGTGTCTGGCATCGTTGACTACTTTCATCCAATAGCTATAGGTTAATTGTTTCCTTCTGAGGTTAAGCGGTGTGATGTCTAGTGCTACCTCCCCAGCCTCTCTCGATGTCCCTTTGCCAGTGCCCATTATGGAAGTCAGAGCTTGGCACTGAATTATATCGTTTGCATTTGCTGTTCCCTGACGCTGATTCATCTTGCATAATAAAATGAATACACGTAAATGTAACATACTTCAACGAGGCCAGTCTTGGTTGGGCCGTGCAGAAACAATACTTCAACGAGTGATTTCTGTTCACGACATAAACCATGGAGAGGAATGGATACTCATACCTCATGAATACAAGCAGTACTTTATGGTGCTGATCACCCTGACAAGACAGTGCTGTGATTGTTGCCATGTCAAGCATTGTCTTGAGCTCTTTGGTACAGCTTCCATCGTTTCATGTGTGGAAGCCGAGATATTTGAAGATTTCAACTTCTTGTAGCTTTCCCCCGTTTCTATCTATATGTTAGAAGGTACTTGATTATTGTAGCTATTCACCCAGATCTTGGTTTCCTCGGCATTAATTTCCAAGCCATATTTACCTAAGACTGTCTCTAATTTTGTAGTTAGTTCTTGGAGTTCAGTTTCTGAAACAGCCATGAGATCAATGTCGTCTGAAAAACGTAAAATTAAACAGTTATCTTCCACCAATGGATATAGATGTTTCATGATTGGCCAGTGTTTCTCTCGTGACATGTTCTAAATACAAATTGAAAAGGACAGGAGTGAAATATGCAACCTTGTATCACTCCCACATTGGTCATGAAAAATTTGCCCATGTCATTTTGAACGAATTCTGCACTGCATGCAATCTTTATAAAGCGCTTCAATTGTGTCTATGATGTTCTTATCGAAGTTATTTCTGTTTCATTTCTGCCTTATTCTGTCACTACGTGTCCAAGAAAAAAGACAAGTGTTACTTGTAAAAAAAAAAAAAGTGAGTAAAGATCCCTTCTCACGCCTTAGGCGGATCGGGCATATGAGAAGAGCGTCCCACAATTTTACAGACCAATCGGCACTGGATGGGTAATGTTGTCAGCATTACGCCGGCCGTCTTTACTTTCCCAGCACAGCCACCCTGGTACACTGGGTCGACCTGCGACGCCCCATACCATGATACAAATCCACACAACCAACAGTGGGTTTCAATCGCGGTACGTTAGAATAAGTGGTCGGACTCGCAACGCCTGAGCCACGGACGCCGCTACTTGTTCTAATGTATTGTTCTAATTAAATATATTCATGGGTATATACAGAAATATAAAAGGCCACAGCAGAACAAGAAAGGGAAGAAGAACGAACAAACGTAGGGATATGGGGTAAGGGGGAGGGAGAGGGAAAATAATGGTATGATAGCATGAATCTACTGCAAGGGTGCAACTGTTAACAGACACACTCAAGTTCCGGACGTTGTCCTTCTTTTCACTGATCGAATTCATTCATCAAGTAGCAGGTCCTTTACAGAACGTCGCTCTCATCACAGTCTGACTGAAAGCAACTCGGTCTCTCGCCAGCTCTCCCGCCTCATGTATTTTCATATTCAAAGCCCATCTTCGTGTTGGTCGCCCCCTGCTCCTCCTTTCTGGCACCTTGCCTTCTGCTATTTTTTTTCCCCCAATCCGCCATGGCGCTTCATATGACCAAAATATTTCAGCTTCCGAGAAAAGATGCTGTTTATTAGCCAATCTTGTTTGATTTTCGGATCTTTTAAAATGTCAGCATTTCTCCTCTTCTTTGTGTATGGTGTCCTGAGAATCTTTCTACAGCATTTCAGCTCAAAAGCACTTTTTTTTCATTCTTAAGAACTTGATCGGATGGTCATCGCATATTCTCAGTGGAAATACAACAAGATATGAAACGAAATGAAAAGTAGAGCCAATCAGCTTCATAATATCACAAAACGAACGAGAAGTGAACGTTGAGGCTAGAAAGCCTTCATCAGCCATTACATAAATCTATGTTACAAAAAAAAATACGAACAAGAATACACAAAATAACTTAACTGACGTATTTCCACTAGAAATCACATTTCTGTCTGGCGAGTAAAATTCTCAATGGATGATTACCTCTAAATGTTTACCGCCTCTGTGAGTTGTGTATTGGTCACTCGGTCATCCAGCTATTATCAATGTACAACCTTCGGAAAATGAGGCAAGCGACCTAAGTAGCAACGTCTGCACGGAGGGTATCTTCGATTTTATTTATAACCTGAGCACAGCAAACAAAAAAACCTGTATTGGAAAAACTTTGCCCAGATTTTATTTAACCAACGTAAGAAAGTTACACATACAGCGATGGGTTATTTACATGAATATGGTACAAGTAACAAGTACTGAATTATTGTAAGAATATATCATCTTACATCTACATTACAAAAAAAAAAAAAAAAAAAAAAAAAAAAAAAAAATAAAACCAAAACCACTGTACACCAGGGCTTTTTATCAACATTCACAGTTTCCCAAATATTACAAATAGCGATCGTCACAGGCCCCAGTGTAAAAAGAAAAATAAATCATTAATACAATAGAATTTGCACTGATCCGCTGGCCACCTGCTATACCTCTGCGGGCTGGATTCAACCCGCGAGCCGCCAGTTGAGTAATCCTGGTCTTCACAAAAAGAACTGTATAGCTGGGTCGGTGTTTAAATCAGACAATCACAGATCAGACATCGCCGACATATGTTCAAACTTTTCGGTGTAGGACACATGGAGACGTGTCCCTGCAGCGTGGCACCAGAAAATGCTGAGCAAGTGCTCCAACACTGTCAACTGTGCTCAGCTACATATTTTAATAGCATCTACATTTGGATATTGATTATTCTATCAACTGCACTCATCTATCTATTTTCTTGTCAACCTTCGGGCAGACTTTGTTTCTGAATATATGCAGGTACACGAATCCATTGAACGAATCTTACTCTTTGGATACAGTATGATTTTTTCCCCTGCTACAGACGATCTAAAAAAAAAAATAATAAACAGTATCATCTTCAACAAGTTCCTTGCCGACTTGCATGGGCGATCGTGTCTCTCCTCCGACAGGTGGTTTCTAAGAGCATGTATCAGTTAAAGCGCTAACCCTTCAACATGCCATGACATCAGTAAACGACTTTTCTACCTTTA